TATATATATATATATATTTTTTGTAGTCCTTACTCAACCACCAGTTGCTAGAAGTATATGCTGCACATTTGTTAGATTTAGATTAGCTGACCTGAAACCTGTGCTGTGACAAGAATGTAGGCTACCATTGCTGATCACTCCTGAATATGCTAGTTCTTTGTCTGTGCTTCTGGTCATTAGTGTGTCACTGACACAGACAAATACATAGGCAGTTCTGACTTTGATTGCTGTGTCCATGAGATCAGCAGTGGTAGCCCTCATGTTTCTTCCAGCACTTGTTTCCTTTAGGACCACAAAAAAACACAAATGTTTATTTCTCATCCATTGAGGGACACATAATGCCTTATACTGTCTGGTTCTTCTGCTGCCTATGTGAGAATTGGACCCTGGTAAACAAAAACTATAGCCCAGAATAACCTTTCCTACTCCAAGCATTCCTCAGTTTTTTTGCTGGTGTTCTAGGAGGATGGATATTTTTTCTTCAGCCAAGAAAAGCCTAACCTTCTTTTGCTAGCCTTTTCCCTTTTTTCTTTCTTCAATGATGGTTCCTGTAAAATCACTGCTTAAGCTGACCTCCTACTTTGCAGCTATCCCTATTTTTGGAATGCCGTACCTGGACTGGATCTTGCAGCACCAGCCTGGAATTTGTTCAGCTTGTGGTGCTTTCTAGACATTGCATACTGGTAATCTTTAGTCATGGAGGGCCTTGCAGGACCAGAGCTGTGGCATTGGCTCAGTGCTTCCACTGTCTCTGAAGACTCTCTTTGTGAGTAAGCTGCTTGAAATATGCATCAGGAGCTGCCTCGATATTTGGACCACTGAGGTGCCTTCAAGTTTCCCACTTTCACTTGGTTGTACAATGGAAGGTGTTAATGCTAGGGGCTTAGGTACAGACATCATCTGCTTGATTATCGTGCATGCTTCGTGCTCTTTTCCTCAACATTCAATGACGTGGAAGCAGCTTTCTGCTGCTGCATCTGCTCGTAAGAGCCACATGGAAATCCTATAAAGTCCATTACTACTGCCTGTATAAGTGACTTGGTCAACTGCAGCCACCTGACCCTACTCTTACTTCCAAGCAGTTGAGTTTATAACTATCTGAGGTTTTGCCTTAGGGGCTGTTTACACGGCGTCCGTTTTCTGTGCTGACCTGATCCGTACGCTCCTGCACTAAAAATGTATCCCAATGTGTTTTATGGGCTACAGTTCTCACGTGCGCAGTACGTTCAGTTTACGACAGAAAAAATACTGCATGTCGCATTTTGTACGGTCCGGAAACGCAAAACGCGTCAAACGCACTGCGCTGCAGCTAACATACTGACAGCCCCACTCCAGCATCAAAGCATCAAAAACGCTGCAAAACACATAGCACCGCGTCTGCAGATCCGCACCTGATCAGGACCTGAAAATCATGTGAAGAGGCCCTCAATGATCATGTTCCTGGTACTGCTTTGCTACAAAACTAGTAGGAGGGGTAAGCCTGGACTTGCCTATAGTTTTGTTTGACAATGTCCAATCCCCCTGTAAGTGGCAGTATAGCCCGACAGTATAAGACTTCCTGTGTCCCTCAGTGGTGGGTGCAAAAATCGTATAACTGTTTTTAAACTACTTCTTTTTTTTTTTTTATGATCTTCCAGGCTGGTGATGGCAAAAGTTTTCTGTGTAAATGTTCATTTATCGAAATCTACAATGAACAAATATTTGATTTGCTGGACTCTGCATCTTCAGGACTTTTACTAAGGGAACATATAAAGAAAGGAGTTTTTGTTGTGGGTGCTGTGGAGCAGGTGGTGACCTCTGCAGCTGAGGCATACCAGGTAAGTTCATAAATGTACATCTGCAAAAGCAGGAAGAGCATTTCATGTGCTACACCATATTTTCCTTGGGGTCCATTCATACCTCTGTCCATGTGTTGCAGCATGCATGATAATGCACAGGTGTGAATGATAGTTTTACTTTTTTTAAACGCAGTAAGCTGCAATGTATTGAAGTGGACCAGTCCCACCACAAGAAAGAGAATTTCTACATGAGATTCCCTTTCATGCAGTTAAATCTGTGGCTTAACTCTTTCGCTAGCCATCGGAACTCTGTTTACATTTGTAAAGCCGACTGTCGGCTTTACACTGGAAGCGATTCAGGTGGCTGAGCTGCTGCCAGATCTCTTCCAGGGGCCAGTGCGCTCGAATAGTTTATTTGGAGTGCAAAGGTGACAGAGGTCCAATTGACCCTTAAAGTGACATTAAACTTTCAGATTTTTTAACATAAACCAATACTGTAATGTGTGCCTTACTGTAATCGATGGTTGTTTCCCTTCTCTTTGATGCTCTTCCTTTTTAAATCTGTATCTTTTCTCATGCTTGGAGAGAACTTCCCTTTTCAGCTCAGGGCCTCTTCCTGTAGTGCTGGCTCAGGTTACAGCCTATACACAGACATCGTGTGAGACAAGGCAATATTCAGGGATATATCTCTAAACTGATGACCTTTACAGGCTTTTAAAGCGCTGCCTATGGACAATTTGGAGTACCGTATTTTGTCAGTTTCACACACGCAATTTTTAACCTGGGCATGTTGCGTATCTACTCATTGTAACCTCATCTTTTATATTTAACACAAAAAAATGTATTGCGTTTTTGGACACTTAAGGGCAAATCTTTTTTTACCAAATTTTTGGGTTTGACAAAGAGCTGCGTTTATATAGTGCAAAAAAATTGTGACTGCCATCATTTCATTCTACAGGGTCTTTGCTGTCAGAAAATATATAATGTTAGGGGGTTTTAAGTAATTTTTAGATCTAAAATGTGGATTATAACGTGTGGAAAATACACACACACACACACAAAAAAGCCTTGGCAGCAAAAGGGTTAAACTGGCTCTTTAAGCCCAGAGTCCACTAAAACTTTAGAAAAGTTGGAATATTTTGTTATAGTTTTTATTTCTATGGGTGCCTTCATGTGCTTGTGAACCCCATTCTCCTCTTTAGTTGTCCTGGTCACATAAGGAGAGGTGAAATCTCCCCAGTAAAGGTCAAACCTTTCTCCACTCTATTTAAAATGTAAAAAATGCTGCAGTTGAGCTTTACTTGATTACCTTTTTTTTTTTTCTCTCTACACCTTTTGGCATATTGAAGTGCTTTCGTTTTGCAGAAATTTAGCTCCCCCTCCTTTCTAAAGATCCAGGCCACCAACCCCCCCTCTGAATCTAGAGAATTGTGAGTCACTGTCACTTGACCAGGACCTCAGAAGAGCAATTATTACTAGGGTGCTTATGCGGGTGCTGCTAAAGTTACTACATTACCTCAGCATCAGGAACTAGTCCAGCATCTTCAGAGAATACAGAGCTCAGCGTGAGTGCCCTGTAGGCTAGAAACAAATTTTACATACTGATTTGCCAGGAAATGAAGCCTACACCTGTAAGTACAATCGAACTACACTACATTACGGCAAAAGCACTTTGCCGGTAAAATGTCTTTTTTTTTTTTTTCTTCTTCAATAAAGTTTTATTAAATATTTTTCATCAATTAATTACAAAACCACTGGTCAAGGCAAGTAGCATAGTTTAAGGCAGAATAGAAACGTATGTCACTTCCTATCCAAAGTTTCAAATCTCCCAAATATTCTGAAAGTTTGTAAATAAAACAAACCAAACATAAGTCATCATTCAGACAAAAAGCAGTAATCCTTGGAGTCTGCCGAGTATAGCCACTTAGAGGCTATCTCGGTCTGAATCCAGGTGCAAAACCCCTAAGGCATTCGACATTTTCGCTCTCAAATACCAGTTGGTATATCAAAAGGTCTTCATAAGCTGCGTGATATTCTTTTTACTGTACAACTATAGAGGTGAAAAAAACCAAGCAGAAAGTCTCTGTGCCTAGGATGCCTTAGTCAGTTTGCTGATACGCAATTCTGATTTAAGGAGTGTGAACTAAATGTAATACAAAAATGTATACATATGTGTGTTTGCTGATGTCATTTGGTTTTGTTGGTAATGCCCCGTTTTCAATATTTTGCCAGGTTCTTTCTACTGGATGGAGGAACAGACGAGTGGCGTCGACCTCAATGAACAGGGAATCCTCCAGGTCTCATGCGGTCTTCACTGTCACAATTGAATCTATGGAAAAGGTTAATGAAATTGTTAACATAAGATCTTCACAGCTTAACCTTGTTGATCTTGCTGGATCAGAAAGACAGAGAGACACTCATACTGAAGGAGTCAGACTTAAGGTGAGCTGAAAATGAATTGTATTTGTTAATTCTTATGGACAGTTGTTTCTGTTTGTAGAACTGTTGATGTATAGTACTGTTCTTTAAGGTGTCGGGATTGTATTGTCAGGTTCCATGGAGCTGTGCCCATGGCCTGACTTGGAACTGAAACTGAGCGGATCTGCTCTGCATTTGGTGTGAACAAGGCCTAAAGGAATGGTGTGCAGAGTACACCTTGGTTTTAATGCTCCTTGGGTGCACAGAAAATGTTTTTCTGACTGGGGAAAATATTTGCAGGTGTTTGCTGTTAGGTGATTTTGTGGTTTGTTTGTTTTATTTTTTTTGTCAGGTTCACTCAAGCGATATCACAGTGGATATTGGTTGAAAGAATATGGCGTTGCTTACATTTTTGCATCCTCCTCTCGCTCACCTCAATTCAAATTCACATTTCAAAGGATTGATCTGTTTGTAGGGCCGTGGCCATGCCTCAATGTGGAACATCTATACCAGGGGTGCCCACATGGTCGATCGCGATCTACCAGTCGATCGCGTAGCGATCACTGGTAGATCGAGATCTGCAAAAATAGTGCTCGCAGCATTTTTGCGGCTCGCACTGGACTGGAACAGAGGCACTAATGCAGGCGATCGCACTGTGGGCGAGGGGCCTGCCTGCGCAGCCCACGCCCCCTCCCGCCCCTATATGCAGGTGTTTTTTCGTTGGTAGATCTCAATGAGCTCGTCATTTGAAAAGTAGATCTCCAGATGGAAAATAGTGGGCGCCCCTGATCTATACCATAAAAACCATATAGCGGTGGAAAAAAAACTTAGGGCGTGGCTGCGGTGCCCCTGAACGCAGGGAGACGGCCGGTGTGCGTTCCAGAGGCCGAACACTCAAACGCATTCTTTCTAGTGTGAACTGGCCCTTATTTCAAGAGCTGAGCAGTCATGTAACCGCTGATTGCTCAGCCTACGGTCTCTTCCATGCAGAGAGCAGTGACTATCGGTTATAGTCCTTATTCCTTAATTGGGGAACAGACAGGGGAGGAGGTGGGAACAGCTGGCTCTAGAGAGGCAGAGGCAGCTGGGTGGATATTTCCCATCTGCAGCACTGCTCTGTGCTGTCAACAAATAGTGGGCATTAGCTATGTGCTGCCTTTGGGACATGAGTGTACATTGGTAAATGTACTCCTGTGACCCAAAAGAGAAGTAAAGTAAAAAAAAAAAAAATTCAGCCGCCTTTTACAAAAAAAGCAATTTTATGTATTTTGAGCTTCTGTACACGGCAGTCTAATTACTGCACATACAGTAATGTAGAGTATGTTAAATTGAATGTTTAGATGTATTGATAGATTCACAAAACTAGGTGTGCATTTCAAATGTACTGTATTTTTTTTGTTCTTTGTAGGAGGCTGGCAGCATAAATAGGTCGCTGAGCTGCTTGGGTCAGGTGATCACAGCTTTGGTGGATGTGGCTAATGGCAAGCAGAGACACATATGTTACAGAGACTCCAAACTTACATTTTTGTTACGGGTAAGTAATTTTACACTGGCATACCAAACATATATGCATAAAACATGAATGTGTATGGCTGCAATTATGTGCACTGCTTGTATTGAAGGAAAACTAATACACAGTGAGGGGAATTTATCAAAATCTGGAGCAGCTGTGCATGGCAACCAATCGGCTTCTATCTTTCACTTTCAAATCTTAACTGAACAAAAGAGAAACTGATTGGTTGCCATGGGCAACTGCTCCAGATTTTGTCTGCTCCACTGTTGATAAATTCCCCCCAGTGTATTTTCAGTGTTCTGTTTACCCAAAAGTAATTTTGATGTACTTGCATTCTGTACTGTGTTGTCCATATTGTTGTAAATTTCTCCAGTGGATATCTTTATAATAGACAGAATAGGGACGGTATGAATATTGCTGTGGAACACAGATAACAGGATTTGATTGATCAAGTTGCATTATCACATAAGTTGTCTTTCTAGTAATCGTGTGATGCGACAGAATGTTTTGAGAGACCATTTTAGCATGTCCTAAAGCTGTCCAAACATGGAGAAAATGTTACTTGCTTCTTGATGAACCGCCTGAAATTTGCTCCATGGGTGGCTCAGCGGTCTCCTGCCTGACATCCTTCAATCTGAAGGTCGAGGGAACCGGGCAGAAAATTGTCAGCCAGTTCAATACATTACAGACTGTAATTAAGCCCCTCCAGAGGGGAAAACTGTTAAGAGGAGAAGCGGGGTCTGACAGTGTTATGTATCGTGCAATTGAAAGAAACCGAAAAAAACATTCAGTTCTGATTCAGCTTCCCCTTTTGTGGTGTTGGAACCTTAGGGAATGGATAGACCCTGTACAACCATAGCACTTGGGGCCAGCCTGACTGTAACCTGACTGGTTATCTTGTCTTGCGCTCCGATTCCTG